GATCGGCCTACCGGAACTCTACCGGCACGGCATGGTCAGTGCTAGTGCACTGTTTTGATGCGCTAAACTTAGCGCAGGGGCTGAAGCAGGAGCGCAGCATAGCGCAGCAGCGAGCGGAGCAGCAGCAGGGCGACTGCGCCAGCACGGGGGCCATTGCCGCCTGAGGTACCGGGAGCTTGGAGGGTCTCTCCTCCTCTCCCTCGCCAGTCCCCTCTCTCTCTCTCTCCTCTTCCTCCTTCTTCTTCTTCTTCTTCTTCTTCTTCTTCTTCTTCTTCTTCTTCGTCTTCTTCTTCAGATTGGAGACTATCCAGTTGGACAGAGATCAGAGTTGGATTTCGGTGATACGAGACTGTGGTACTTACCTGATTGGAGACTTGGAGATTGTTGAGGTTGATACTCGGCTGCATCACAGTTGGACACCGGTTACATCTGGACTCTGTTATCTCCGACATTGGTGACCTTTGGTCCTCGACATTTTGATCTTGTTATATGATATTCTGGACTACCATTTCGGAGACCTATCAGACTCTATCTTTGTGACCTATCGGTGTGATCTACCTCCCACCTCCTTCGTCTCTCCTCCCACCTTTCATCTGTGTATGTGTGTACGGGATCTGGGTATCGTCTATGAATGACCCAGACCCCACCAACTCATGATTGTGTGTGTGTGGAGTGATGCCATGTAAGTCAGTTGGTGTGAGTCGGTCTATGTGAGTCAGTTCGTTATCAGACTTCCGCTGCATAAATGCTCATCCTCTATTGGTTGATCTTTGGTTCTGCCCATACTCATTGGAGTATGTAACACCCCTTGTCCGGGGGGGACCTACCTTGCCTGGAGGCCAAGATGCACCCAGTCGCCCCAGGGCCAACTCGTGGTGGTGGTGGGGGGGGGAGCTGCTAGCCTCCTAGGGCCCGCCTCCGTCCCTCACTCCCACCCCCAAGGGCAACTTGTCACTATCCAAACTATTATTTTCTTCCTATGTCCTATGCTCAGTTCATGCCAATCGTACTATCAGTCATTCTGCTTTCTGCGTCGCTTACTCATGCATGGTCTTGAGCAACAATGAGCTCTTGCAACTTGAGATTTCTGTGTCTTCATATTCTGGTTCTTTGCGAGAGCTACTGTTGACCTGAAAATGAGCTCTGGCTTGTGGCTGAATGTTACACACTCTAACTATCGATCAGTAGGACAAGCGTTTAAACTTTAAACTTCGGAACCTAACCGGCAGGGAGAGCTGGTGGCAATCACCTGGTGCAAGTGAGCATTTTGAGAGTTCATCTAGTCAGAAAATGAACTGGGTGAGACGCGTGTCGCAGCAGATGTGCAGAGGATTGGCTTTGCTTGTCAACATAGTCCTGTTGCCGTTCGTCTTACATGCAGTTCACGACAGCTTGGTTCTTCTAGCGGAAGTGTTCCCTTTGGTCTCTGTGTCGAAACACAGCATTTGCTGGCAAATTGCTGTGTAATCTGTCTGCTGCTGGGTTGCGAGTCCTTGCCCAATTGTTATCATCATTTGTCATGTGTTGTATGCGGTAAACGGGAAGGCAATTATTGAGTATGAGAAGCTATTTGAGGATGATTGCTTATCGCAGTAATCAATCTTATTCATGGTTGTAACTTTTAATTGGTCACTTTGCCTGGCCACACTACTCCCTGAAGGTATCCTAATAAGGGCTCTGGCCGTCGTCCCTATGTTCCCCTTTGATCGCAAATCAGAACTCCAGGGCCCCACCTGCCTGGCATTCGCAGGTTGAGGGTTGGCGTGCCTTCTGACTACAATAGCCACAGCCAGGGTCTCCAAGTGAGCAAAGAAATGGAGCTGTCTGTTTCTTTGTCAAGGTCTGCGTCCCAAGCTGCCAATGCCTTCACTGCACAAGGAGTCCTCTTCCCATCACAAACGCACTCCACTTTCAAGGAACAGAATGGAGGAAGGCCTTTTGGTGATTTGCCAATCTGCCCCTGTATCTGTGCTAGAAGGCGGAGGGAAGACGTCGGACGTCCTGTCTTCCGGGAAGTGTTTGTTGGAGGTCATGTTGTGGGGAAGGAAACCGGCAGGGCGTGGGCTGTTCATTGTGCAGAACCACACAACAGCTGGCTTTCTGCCAGTTTCAACCCTCTGCCAGGAAGACGTCCCACTGCAATGGCTCTCCACCGAAGACCCTTAGAGCGCTCTTTCTCGTCGACAGCAAATTTGATCACACCTCTGCAATCAGCAACCAGAAGTTGTGGAACTGCTCCTACGCAGGATGGGCCAACGGCGTCAAAGTCTTCGACAAAACCATTCCTCTGTTACGAAAGTCGGCTTCGTGATCATCAGGAATTACAATGGTTATCCTGGGGAGCACCACTCTCTGCCAGGCCTCTGCAGTGCAAGCACCTCAGCGGTCCACGATGGCGTATCGCATCAGGCTTGAAGTTGGATGAGAAAATGTCAGCCGGACCTGGCAATGAAGATGTTTTTCCTAGCGCTGCCGAAGCTGCCCAAGAAGGAGCTCTGGTGGGTGAGGATGCTGCTGTGTTCAGTCTTGAGACTCAGAGCTTGAAATCGTGGGGCATTTTTTCCACAATCCTTGCGACCGTTCTTGCAGTTACCTACTATGTCTGGATTGACTCCAACGTTGGACTTGGATATGGCGGCAAATTCATCCAGACCATGAGTTTGGTATCCGATAATCACGAGCTGGTAATGCTGGCGATCCTTTTCGTGTTTGCTATTGTACATAGCGGCCTTGCAGCCCTGCGTAGTTCTGGTGAAGAGTTGATGGGAGAAAGGGCTTATCGGGTCCTGTTTGCTTCTGCCTCATTACCTCTTTCTATAGCAGCTGTTGTATACTTTATTAATCACAGGTACGATGGCGTGCAGCTCTGGCAGCTCCGGACAGTTCCCGGCATTCATGAACTAGTTTGGCTCCTTTCATTCATCTCTTTCTTCTTCCTCTACCCCTCCACTTTCAATCTGCTTGAAGTTGCTGCAGTTGATCGACCCAAACTTCATCTTTGGGAAACAGGCATCATGCGAATCACCCGCCACCCGCAGATGGTGGGACAACTGATTTGGTGCTTAGCGCACACATTATGGATCGGGAACTCCTTCACGCTTACGACATCGCTGGGTCTCTGTGCGCACCATCTTTTCGGCTGCTGGCACGGCGACAAGCGGCTGGCCGAGAGGTATGGGGAGGCATTCGAGCGCGTCAGAGATCGCACAAGCATCTTCCCTTTTGCTGCAATTGTTGATGGACGGCAGAAACTACCAAAGGAGTACTGGCGCGAGTTCCTAAGGGTACCCTATCTCACCATCACGGCGCTTACACTGGGTGCCTATTTCTGCCACCCATTAATGCAAATGGCCAGCTTTCATCTACACTGGTGAGACCGTCTCATGTCTGGTTTTGTAGTAGTTAAAGTGCACTCTACCCATGGTATCTCGCAATTGTAAAGGCAATCCTCTATGTACGCATTCATTGATTCAACTTCATAACAAGCCTTTGGCAACTTTGCTTGCCTTCATTCTTAGTATTCTAAAAAAAAAAGTATTCTCAGGGCATTTCTGCCCATGAAGATTGCAAAGATTCTGTTTGTTTGTCCATTTCATCTATCGCCTTTTCTGTCAATTCCCACCCACCGCCCCAACTCTGCCCTGCCCTCCAATTTTTAATGATCAATCATTCTGTTGCATATCTTTTTTTTTTTTTTTGAGGGGTTGTTCTGTAGTTTTGGCTGTCTATCTATTTTGCCTGTTTATTTGCCCTGCTTGTGTGTCTTAGTCTGTCGACTCTGTTCATCTGTCTTGCTTGACTGTCTGTCCAGTCGGTCGCCCTCTCTTCACCTCTGACCAGCAGTCTGCATCCCTTCTCACCACCTCCCACCAACAACACTAACATGACAGTGCCACAGATACCAAGGATAAGCTTAAATCACCAGTGACCCTGGAAACACCCTGCGTGCCAAAGTAAAACAGTACCAGCGTGTTTTTTGTTTTGGCTGGTGCCGCTCACCGTTTAGCTCCAGTAGGACGTGGCCCGAAAGTTTCAGCACATGCATGGCTGCATTGGGTAAAAATGGCTGGGAAACGTACTGGTGGTTAAGGGAATCTAAATGCCACCTGGCATCCACCTCCTGAACACATTTTCATAGGGCCTCGTTAGACACTCCTTGTGGACCCGAAATCCACAAGGAAATGATCGTTACACCTATCCTTGGGGACGATCGTCGAAAAAAAAAGTGAAAACACCACAAGGACGTTTCCTTGTGGTGTCCTTGTGGCCACAGCCAATTTTCCCTAAACCCCAAGGGACCTCCCGAGGTCCCTTGTAACACAAGGAAGCGCGAAATTTGGAGCGGCGAAGGAATGCGTCGACGCACAATTTCGGTTGGAGGGTGGTCCAGACGTGGTCCGCTGAAAGGGAGCACGGACATCTTCGCCTCGAAAGTCTGCTCGTCGTCCCAACGGCTCCAAACGGTAACCGGCGGCGCGAGGCCTCCGTCCGTCCGCACGACTCGACGGCCACCGCCGTCGTGCGGTCTGCCCCAGCGGGCGATCGTCGACAACGGTCCGAAATTCGAAAGTTTTTGTACACGGCTCCCCGTTTGGCGACGACGGTCATTCGACAGGATCGTCGTTTTCTTCCACTGCCGTCACGCCTCGCACGTTCGAGCACAGATCTTCCACCGATCTTCCTTGTCTCGATGACCTTGTTCGTTGAACGGTCCACCGCCGACGTCGGTTTCATCCCCTTCGAACGGCCCTTACATGGCCGACCTGCTGCATAGGCTTTCCCCTGCTGGCCCTTACATGTGTTCGTGTTGCACTCATCAGTCGAGGGAATACTTGGCCGCAGAACATCAAACAAATCACAAATGCCAACGCACGACATTGACGCAATGAAACAGGCGCACACCGAATGCGAACACACAATGGAAATGGGCGAAAACGACTGTCAAAAGTACTTCCAACGTCGCAGAAGAAATCACAGCACTACAAAACTCTTTTTCGAAACCGAGATGGGGGGAAAGTTTAATGCCCGCCCGAATGAACACCATACCTCTAACCTGTAAATGCGCTAACTCTTCTCGAAAAAGGCGCACCTCACACCCGCAATGAGCATGTTTCGCACTACTCCTGATGAACGGCATCCAAAAAAAAAAATTGAACAAAAAAAAAAAAAAAGGAACGCGACGCACATCCGTGGATTGCGAAGGCCAACCGAACACAATCGTCGACGCAAGCCGCCGACCACGACGCCTGACAGGGCTAGCAACCAAGCCAACGGCCGACGAGACCGCGATTCTGCCCTCCGGCCATTGCACCAAGATCGCACTTCCACGCACTGCCTTCCACCATCCGAATAACGACCCTCTACAGAAACCACCAACCCCGTCGGGGTACAGACGACAGCGACCCAATCAAGGGAGGACGGAAAGACCAATCTGCTGTCCAGCCATTGTTGCAATTAAGCCATCTTCATGTGATGTCGTCCGTGAATGATACACGACTCATTCGTGTTTCATTCGTTCCGCCAAAGCATGCCTCAGGGCTAAGGCTTCGCTGGTCGACGTCAACATCGACACAGGCTGGAGGGGCTCGTCGAATCCCAGGTCCACTCGTCGTCACACACCATTACCGCCGACCTCCCAGAGCAGATTCTTGTCGAAGGGGATCCCCGCTTCGATCAGTAAGTTGTGCAGTATGCAGACGGCGGTGAACTGCTGCGGGAGCGTCTCCAGGTTTGTCTTGTGTGTTCGGAGAAACAGCCGCCACATGCCCTTCAGCTTGCCGAACGCCCTCTCCACCGCTCCCCTTGCCACCTTCTGCTTGTTGTCAAACCGCTCCTGCTCGACGCTCTGATTGATACCGTCGTACGGGACGACCATCCATTCGGCAGGTGGGTACCCATTGTCCGCCAGAAGGTAACCGTACGTCTTCACACCGAGCGACAGTGTGACGGGGGGCCCGCGGAACAACGACCCCTCCTCCGCGCGCAGCGACAGGCTGGACAACTGCAGCACCCTGATGTCGTGGCAGCTACCGGGGTATCCCATGTGCACGTCCAGCACACACAAGTCCAAGTCGACAACGACCTGCGCGACGATGGAGAAACGACGCTTCCTGTCATAGTAATTTTCGCTCGGAGCATTCGCTGGCTTGTCGACGTAGATGTGAGTGCAATATGCAACCGTGGCAGTTGGGGAAACCTTTATCACCGAACGCCTGAAGAACGACTTGTTTACGAACTCCCGTCAGCCACGCTATCTTATCGCCGAACACCCTCAGCAGCGTGGCAGTCACGTCGTAGACGGCAATCAGCCCAGAAGCTCATCCGATCCCGAAGTTGCACGTGCTGCTCTCATACGTCTCGTCTGAAGCCCACCTGTACAGTGCGTACGCCACAATCTGGTCTGGCTGCAAAGGCTCCCTGTAGAACGTCACCTGCAGCTGAAGATGAGGCACACACGCCTCCGCGATCTCCCGGAACACTCGCGGCGACATTCGCAACTTATCGCGGAAGTAGTCGTCAGTCGCGTCGTCGCATAGCCTGAGGTCTTCCCACGTTCCTCCTGTCCTGCGCTTCACCCACCACCGCGGTGTCGCGCGGGGTATCACTCCGCAGCCCAACGCATAGCACAGTTGAACAACAGCTTCCGACGTCGCCACGAACTCGGCACCATCGTGCGGATCTTGCGTCAACGTCCTCCGTCTACGCGCGCGCAAATGCTCCTTCAGTCGCCCCAGCGCCCTCTCCTGCTGTATCGTCGACACGGCCGCTGCCACCGCCTGCAGCTCACCATGACTCAGCGCATCACGTCTAGCCGGGGCGCCGCCCTCCATAGCCCGTCGTTCCGCTGCCGTCTGTCTCGTCCTCCCGCGCTGGACGATGGTCCCGAAGACGTCCGTTGAGAAGATGGCCCCTTTTCTCCGCTCACAACCCCGCGCACGGACGCGAAGAGCAACGCGCAGTCGATGTGCGCGAAGGTCCACGGCGATGGAAGCACAACACGTTGCGGGAGCAGATGAGGGAGCCCTCTGGACGTGGCCTCCGCCGCCGCCGGGCCCTTTTCCGCAGCACGACGCCGTCGTCCCGCCAGCCACACGTCGTCGTCGCTGTCGAAGCTGGCATTCAAAATTTGAATTTCGAATGCCCACGCTTTCTGGTTTTAATTTCTCCTCGCGCCGCCCGCAGACTGTCGTTTCCCGCCTCGCGTCGGTGGACCGCTCATCCTCCACACGGACAAAGAAGCTGGACCAAGGACGACAGACCCCGCGGCCGCTAATTTGCATATGAAAACGGCCGCGGGGAAGCCACAAGGAAACACCCTCGGGGAATGGCCCCAAGGATGAGTGTAACGACGCCGCAATTTCCCCTTCAAAACCACAAGGACGTTTCCTTGTGGCTCAAGAAAACCGTAAGGAGTGTCTAACGAGGCCCATAGTAATTTATGTGCCACATCCTAAAAGCATTCAGAATTTCAGACTACATTGCAATGAGGGACTTCTGATAGCATCTCACATCAGTCCACCGCACAAGAGATGGAAAATCAACATGAGATATGAGATCTTGTAAAAATTGTTTTTGAAATCTAATGCAACACATCACATGTACACGTTTGGCGACTATGGTCGCAACCCAACAACAACCAAGAAATCCCTCCCTCCTTCTCTCTCTCTCTCTCTCTCTCTCTCTCTCTCTCTCTCTCTCTCTCTCTCTCTCTCTCTCTCAAGAGGTCTTTCCCTTACCAAGGAATGCTTTACCACCTGAGCTGCAACACATGTACACGTTTGGCGACTATGGTCGCAACCCAACAACAACCAAGAAATCTCTCTTTCTCTCTCTCTCTCTCTCTCTCTCTCTCTCTCTCTCTCTCTCTCTCTCTCTCTCTCTCTCTCTCTCTCTCGCGCGCGCGCGCGCGCGCGCAGAGGCCTTTCCCTTACCAAGGAATGATCACGTGGAAATTAGAGATGATCAAGTCCCGCCCAACGAGGTTGTATGTATGGCGCATCTTAGAAAATGGTTGGTAAACGTACTTACGGTTTAAACCACCAGTTCTTGGCCCAGCTATCAGCCGTGGAAAAAAAATGGAGCGGAAACATTTCTAGTTGGATGAATTTGGGCGCTCTTGTAGTGGCCCGTACGTTTCCTAAAATCGTGGCTTGTTAATGAGCACGACTTTAGGAAGTACAGGTGGTTTAAGTTAATGTTTGTATGCAAGGGCGATGCAATCAATGCTGGCAGGAATGGATTTGAAAATAACCATTTACTGTCAATAAAGGATCATTAAAGGGTTGGAATGGTTTTCAAATGGACAGATTTGATAGAAAAGAAGGTTGACTTGTTACTGTATTTACATGTGTTTTGCTTGTGTCAAAGTCGCGAAGACGAGTAGTGGGCGGATGGGGACGTTGAGGGTGAAATCGTGTAGGTGAAGCGGATTGGGGTAAAAGTTTGTTATTGGTGAGACTGTGAGAGTAAATTTTAAGGGCATATGTCTTGCATATGTGTTACAAGTGATCTTACTTTAAGTGACTAGCAAATTAAAGCAATCGGGAAAAAAGTCTATGACAAAGTTTTTGTAATTGTTTATCCTCATGAGGACTGATTTAACCCCCAATATCTCGAAACCCTTACCCCATATCGGACCTCATACAAAAAGACATAATGCTTTCTTGAGTCTTTGTCTAAGAGGTCTTTGGATAGTATAAGGATCCTTTGTATGAAAGTTTAGTTGAGAATTTGAGCTCAGGAACAACGGAAGGAGTGTCCAACAGTGGTCTAGGGGGTGGGACAGATTTGATAGAAGAAAAGGTTGACTCGTTAATGTATTTACACGTGTTTTGCTTGTGTTGCGGGTATGTTGGGATGTATCTTATGTGTTTAAGCTTAATGGGCACACAAGTCTTTCAACGACCGTTGTAGCTTATGTCTGCTTTTGAACATATATGGGTATTTAGGTACATATGAAGATGTCAAGGTGCATTTGAAAATCTAGAGGGTCATAAGATGGGAATGCTCTCTGAGATGGCCACATTTCCCTTGCCTCACCTTCCTATTTGTACCGCATCAATTGTGTTTTTAAGCAAAGGTTGGCACAGAGGCCTAATCGAGCGAGTGTGCGGCCTCTGGTCCTACTCCCCAAGCAAGTCTAGGACAACACCCACGTGTGTGTACCAGATGAGAGTTTTCTTCATCTGAGAGTGCGACTATGTTGTAGAGGGATACAAACACTGGTTTCTTCCCGCGTTAGTCTGGTATGTTGGGTTGGGATGTATGTGATAGGAAGTAAGTTCTACATGTGTTTATCAAACACATGTCACTTATCGTTGGCAATCTTCACATTTATGCAAAAAAATGAAAGATGAATGAATGCTTTATCCAACTGTTATTTTCCCCACGGCATACTTCAACTCATCCTGGAGCGTCATATGAAACCCCAAGGACCAGATTCGGTCTTAGGCAAGTGAGTGTCATAAGGCAGTTCATGAGGGTTTCCATCGTGAAAGTATATCACTTTTCGAGCACCCGGGTCTGTTTATGTTTGTCAGAGAGTCGTTTAGCAAAAGGAGAGTTTTGGGTCAGCATCGAAATTAAAAATTGTGTAAATTGTGAGGTGAGGTGTACGCAACCTGACCTAGGAGATTAGCACTCCAAGTGATGGTTCGCATATGGATGATGGATCATGCGTACTACAGTGCGTTTTTTTTATGCTACAACAATTAAAACTGCCTAATGTGGAATATTAGCTCAGAAAGGATACGCCTTTCGGGGATGGTGGCAACTCTCCGGAAGAAGAAAGTTGTACCTCGCCAACCTCTATCCATCGTAAGGGTTTGTCAGAGGTATAGTTCGCGTACTCGGTCAGAGTGACACAACTCCATATTTTTGCAAAGCATCCAACCTTGTGTGAAACAGTTGGGAGAACCCTCATGTCGCCTTTGTGCTAAAGGGCCGGTGCACTCAAAAGTGGAACCTTTGAGTACCTTGTCGATGCGCCATGCCTGCTTCGGCTTTGCCATAGGCAAACTACAACATTGGAAAGGTATGCGAATTTTGGTAGGTTGCACGACCTTAGGAGCATCTCTCATCGGTGATATGTTTGTTATTTTCTTACGAAGGATATATCTAAGTCGTGAAGAAGATACTTGGGGTCGCTATGCAGGAACGTAGCACCTGTGAGGCCTATTTTTTTCCCCCAATAATTTTGGGTTTTCCTCATCAAGAGACACCACCTACCCCCTTTTTTGTTCAAATTATCCTTGGTGCATCCGCACTCCCTCGGTTTTTACCTTAGTGTATATCACTCATAACAATGACCCCTTCACCACTTCATGGGGGGACAAGTGACCAAACAACGGTCGCAGGCACCGACACCAAGCACAATTTCTCATTGAGCCCTGATCGAAGCATGTTTAAACTAACCCTATCCACGACGTACTTCGGAAGCTAAACATGAAGTATATTTTCCTCTACAAAACTTTCGAGTACACCCTAAATGTCGCCTAAAATTTTATAGTCGGATCCCTTTATATGGGTGAAGGTTCTCCCGGACCCCCTACAAACAGTGTTATGATGAGCTCAATTATGTGTTGCTCCCCATTTCTACGTGGCTACGTGCTCGGATCAGTAAGGCTCCTTCAATGGTTACTAGTTTTATTTGTCGGTTCGTCTTTGATTTTTTTGTCATTTTTTAAATGTGGTGGTGCAACTTAGCAAGCAATTGGAGCATACATGTTTTTTTGCTTTGTAATGCTTCTGGTTTTTACTCACATAAAAGTAACAACACCGACAATTCAAATTTCTTTTAGGATTCGTTCGCGCTTTACGGAGCATAATTGTTTTCATTTGAAATTTTCTTTATGGAGTACAATTGTTTTCGTTTTTAAGTTTTATTTATATAACTCAATGGACAAATATACAATAGCAGGATTTAATTAGTTGTGTGTGTTAGTTCGCACCTAGGAATATAGGCATCTCCTCTTATATTGCTTTAACTTTTTGCTTCACCTTCCCTCACCCTCCTTTTTGAAGTTAATCTCCTTTGCCACAGACAGTATTATGAAGAGTTCATTTATGTGTCACTCCCCATTTATGCATGGCTACGTGTCGGATGAGTGAGACTCCTTCTATGTTTACTGGTCTTAGTTGTTGGTTCGCCATTGACTTTTTTATAATTTTTAAAACTTCGCAAATGTGGAGGTGCAACTTGCATTCAAATACAAAAGTGTCATGCAATTTGAACTTTACTGCTTTTGCTTTTTCGTTTCAAATTTTTGCTTTCTAATGCTTCCTTTCTTTACACACGTAAATGTAATAACACCGACAATTTAAATTTCTTTTAGGATTCCTTTGCGCTTTTCATTTGAACTTTTCTTTATGCAACTTGATGGACAAACGTGCAACAAACGAAATGTAATTAGTTGTGTGTGTTAGTTCGCACTCAAGAATATAGGCAACTCTTCTTGTACTGCTTTAACGTTTTGCTTCACCCTTCTTCATCCTCCTTCTTGAAATCCCTTTTGCACATGCGACTTTTTGCACAAACCTTCTTCTTCTTACTTCTACATGCCTTTGCTTTCCCTCATCCCTGTTCTCCCTCTTTGTGCTTTCAACTATCCTCCTTCCCCTTATTTCTCTTCAAACATGTTATGTTTGAAATTGGTTGTCCTCTTTATTCCGTATGTTGACCATACAGCAACCTTACAATGATTCCCTGGCCCACACTGCCCCTTTCTAACTTCAAAGTTTGTGCTCAAAGCACAGGTTCGAAGACCGCTATTTACGTCAAGGCCTCACTTATATGGCACAGGGTGAAGGGGGACTTTTATCCCAACTTTCTCCATTTATATCTAGGATAGGCAGGCCAAAGGACGAACGGAACTGGGTACCAGGGAGTGTCCCGGTTATGCCAGTCTAACCTGCCGCACCAGAAATAAAATAGGTATATCTTGGATACTTCCATGCTTGCCAAGGATAAGTAAATGGATTGATGACCTTCATAAGAGAAAGGGTTGTGTTATGTGTGGAAAAACAAAATCCCAATTTTGGCCGACACTTCACCCTCACCGCTCATCCCCCAAAAATTTTGGCATACTTCTTTTGCATATTTCCCAGGCCTATATCCACCACGATCAAGAAGTTGCGCCATGCATGAGGTCATCTTTCATAGTGTTCTAAGCCAAAGTCTAACCTATGATAGCTCTTGAAGCACTTGAGTACATCCCCTGGAGGAACTATTCTTTCGATCTTATTTTTGCTTGTAACTCATTATCTGTAAAGTCTGTATCTGGTTTATATTGCCTTGCCGCACTACTCCCGAGGTAC